TGGCTGAAAGACACTTAAGGAATGCTCAACATCCCTAATCATCAGGGAAATGCAAATCAAAATGACTCTGAGATACCACTTTATACCCATCAGAATGGCGAAGATCAAAAACACTGAAGACAGCTTATGCTGGAGAGGATGTGGAGCAAGGGGAACTCTCCTCCACTGTTGGTGTGAATGCAAGCTTGTACAGCCACTTTGGAAATCAATATGGCGCTTTCTTAGAAAATTGGGAATCAATCTCCCCCAAGACCCAGCTATAGCACTCTTGGGTATATACTCAAGGAATGCTCAATCATACCACAAGGGCACATGCTCAGCTGGATAGGACTGGGACCTATCCTTAGTGCATGAGCTGGCTGTTTGGAACCTGGGGCCTATGCTGGAACACTTTTCTCAGCTTGGGTGAAGGGAGGAGAGGACTAGACCTGCCTTGATTGAATCTACCAGGCTGAGCTAAATCCCCAGGGGAGTCCTTGCCCTGGAGGAAATGGGAATAGGGGGTGGGCTGGGGGGAGGGTGGGGGAGGGGCTGGAGGAAGGAGGACAGGGGAATCTGTGGCTGATATGTAAAATTAAATTAAATTATAAAATAAATTTTAAAAATGTTCCCAAGATTCTCCTGTAAGAATCTATAAATCATTATATGCAAAGTTAGGATACAGGGTTAATGACCTAACCTGTCTACTACCCCTTCTGTTACTGTGACTAAGCCACTCCTTGTTATGAACCATAGCCTTCCTAATTTGTCACCTGTGGTAGATTGAATGTAATTGGCCTCCATTAGCTCGTAGAGAATTGCACTACTGAGCAGTGTGGTTTTGTTGTAGTGGGTAGTACAGACTTGTTGGAGGAAGTATGCCACTGTGGAGGTGGACTTAGAGGTTTCATATATTTTCAAGCTACCCCCAGTATCTCAGGCCTGCTGCAGGATGTCTTTCTGTATGCTGTGGATATGTGTATCTCCCATTGGATAATAAATGAAGCTGTTTTGGCCAATGGCCAGAAAGCTTACAGCCAGGCAGGAAATCCAAGCAGAGATGCAGGGAGAAGTGCAGAGTTGAAAGAGACCTGTGCCCAACACAAAAGTAGCAATAGGATGCCAGCAGACTGGTAATGTCATGGCCATGTGGCAACATATAGATGAATAGGAATGGGTTAATTTAAGATGAATGAGTTACTTAGCATAAAACATGCCATAGGCCATACAGTTTGTAATTAATTTAAGCCTGTGAGTGATTATTTTGTAAACAGCTGGGGGACCTTAGGACCGGGCAGGATATAGGAAAACGTCCTTCTACACAGACCTCTTCCTGTTGCCTATGGGTCATGATGTAAGAACCCTCAGCTCCTTCTGTATCACCATGTCTGTTTGCATGATACCTTGCTTCCCACCATAGCAACAATGGACTAAACCTCTGAAATGCAGGTGATCCACCCCAATTAAATGTTTTACTTTATGATAGTAGGTTTGATCGTGGTGTCTCTTCACAGCAATAGAAACCCTAACTAAGACAGTAATTATATGAAACAGTCTCTTCCCTCCCTCTATGCAAGGCTTGGGGTGTGTGAATTAGTTGTTCAACATGGAGCATATTATTAAAATCTTGGCCTATATGATGAGTAATCTTGATTACTGTGATGGTAGGACTGGAATGTCCCCCATAAGGTCATAAATTTGAATAGTTATTCACAAGACAGTGAAACTCTTTTGAGAAGAGTTAGGTGGTATGGCCTTATTGGAGGTGTGCCACTGGAAGGGGGTTTGAAATTTCAAAAACCACACCAGGCTTAATCTCTCTCTCTCTCTCTCTCTCTCTCTCTCTCTCTCTCTCTCTCTCTCTCTCCATCTCTGTCTCTCTCTCTCTCTGTGCATATCTCTCTCTCTCAGTCCCTGTCTGTCTGTCTGTCTCTGTCCCTCTGTCTTTCTGCCTATGGATCAGGATGTAAAACTCTCAGGTATTGCTCCAGTGCCATGCCTGTCTGCTTCTTGCCATAAAGATCATGGACTAATTCTCTGAAACTGTAAGCAAGCTCTCAATTAAATGCTTTATTTTATAAGAGTCACCTTGCTCATGAAGTGTCTTCACAACAAAGAACAGTAACCAAGTCAGTGACAATCTTGACTGAGAGATGACTAGAAAATCAAGGTCTGTCTGTGAGGTCATTTCAGAGATGATTGGCATGTGGGTCATTGAAGTGAGAAGAAAGATCTCTCCTGAGCTGAGCTGATAGCATCCAGTTGGCTGGCATTTGCCACTTGGCAAGCCTGACTCTTCCTGATGTGACTGTGTTGCTGTGTTGCTGTGACTGTGTTGCTCATGACAATCACATTCCAGCTCTCTCCAACTCTGCAGAGACTTTTGGTTACTCAGGCACAGACTGCAGCACAGGTCCTTCTTATCTCCAGGCTTTCATGTTTTTTGGAATGGGAAGCCACTAGTTACCCACTTCTCTTCCTCTCCAACTTGCCAGAGGCCATTTTGTCATCATGTACCTGTGACTGTGTAAATAAAACTAGTAATGTTAATATATACTGTTGGAAGAGTCTGTCCAAAGATAATCCTGACCAATGTGGGTATTAGAACTCACACTTGAGAAGAAAGAAATTGTTTTTCTGTTTTTCCTTTTCCTACCCTCTCTCTTTAGTTATTTCTTTCTACTAAGGGTCCGGTTTACTGTGGGAAGTTCCACCCTCAAGCACATGGTCATGGGTGAGATTACAAAGCAGGCTGATTCAGTCATAGAAACAAGCATATAAGCCTATCCCCTTCACATCTTGTTCTTCACTTTCTATTTTCAGGTTCCTCTCTTGGTATTCTTCAGACTATGATCTGAAAGTATAAGCTTCATAAATTATTTCCTCCTTAAGTTACATTTGGTCATGGTTTTTATCACAGAAACAGACAGCAAACTAAGACAGAGAATTTCAATGACTGAAGAAGACTGGAATTTTGGACAAATTCTTAAGATAACACTTTCCTATCGTCCCCCATAATCCACCCTGGGGAGTACAGATTTCTCATAATATCAGTAAAGAATGCATTTCAAGGATGCACTGTCAGAGCTCATATCTGGTCTCTCTTTAGAGACTATAGACACTCATCTGGGAGACTTGAATGATATGACAACATTCACACAGGCTTTGAAACTTGAATATATGTAGTTTAGTTATTTTCATTGTTGACCAGGACTTCATCTACAGGCTTGGTTGCCAACTGTGGCACTATTAGGAAGTGTTGGAAAATTAAGTAGGTATGTGCCTAGCAGAGGTCATTTGCGCCATGCCCTGATGGGATATCTGCAATCTCATAGTATCTTTCCCTTGCATCTTCCCCACCATGAGATGGCTGTGTTCTTCAGCCACGTATTGCTAACAAATGTATCTTCATCCTAAGAAGTTGTTCATTCAGATATTGTTTCAGTGAGGGAAAGCTAACAAACATAGCCTGGTCTAAAGGTCACTTTGACTCTTTCCCTTAAAAAAAAAAGCAAAAAATTACCTATTGTGTGAAATAAGAGGGTCAACCTAGGCTATAATCAAAGATCTTCAGTACCCGGGCACCAGCTGCAAATTTTAAAAAACTCTCTTATTTAACATTATATAATATTTGTTTCAATATATTAGTAGTAATTAATACTAATTATATTAATATATATCAAGCTGTCAATTTGTTGACCTAAAAGGGGTGGACATAAATTAGGAGAACATGTGAAATTATAAATTAGTTTTGCATATTCTATGATAACATATAAATAACAATTGTATATCTTGGTTATCTTTTCCAAGAGAAGAGAAACTGCATAATATAACAGCTCCAGAGATGTTGTCTTTAGGAAGTTCTAGAAATGCTGTAGTTAAGCAGCTACATGCCAAAGATAGGACTGTGGTAGAAAATCCAGACTGGTGCTTTGTCAACCCAGGGGGCTTTTCAGGTTTACCTCTTCTGGTCCTCATTGGGCATCTCCAGGTAACTGAATTTCATGCACCGCCACCAGAAAGAAATGCTGAAAGCAGAACATCCAACTGCTCTCTTGCCTTGATTTCTTGTTATATTCACTGGGACTTCACAACTACTCCAAAGTCTGTAGGACTTTCCTCCCCTTGAACTGGAATGGTTTAATGATTTTTATAGGTCACCAGAAATTATGGGGTGACAGTCCCAGCATGCATCTTACCAGGCCTGTGTTCTACTGCTCTGTTTCTCGGGATCTTAAGCAATACCATATGAAAACCCAGGATACCAGATATGGCAGGTTAACCAAGATTAGCTAAGCCAATGATCTGACCTGGAAACCTCTGAGGATAATATACTCTTTGGTAATAATTCAGTTTGGGATAGTTGTTATTCAGCAAGATTCTAACTAATAAATAGACCTTGAATTCAGGGAATCCTAAAGCAGAAGGGTCTATAACTGGGGAGGTCAGCTGCCATGCATATGTAATAGAGAACGAACTGAAATAGGACTGAAAACTTAAGCCTGATCTGCTCTGCCAGTTCCTTGGGCAAATGGTCTTGAATAAGAAAAAGCTCTCCTCTTAATTGGAGTTTGCTTATCACATTAAATAGACATTAATACCCTGTTCCTATTTGATTACTAGCAGATATATCACCTTTGTGATGTCAGGTAATTTGTCTGCTAATGAACCCTCTAATTAAGAGAGAGCAATACAATCCTCAGTAGCAAAACACCAGTGTGTTTCTGTGTGTTCCTGTTTTTATTAGATAGCTGGTGTGGATATGAGGATATTTTAAATGTGATGATACATGAAGCATTTGTGGCACCACAATTTCCATCACAGGCAAGGAGAGCTTGAGAGGTAGGGGTGGTCTGAAGAGTGCCAGGTCCAGAGAACACTGGGCTCCAAAACAATCAACTTGGAGATGCACTGATTGAGGCCATATGGGGATATTCAAATTAGAGTGGAAATCTATAGCGAGAAGAGGAGAGAAGGGATGAGGTAGGATTCTGACCTGTTTCTTCCCCATTACCACTCACCTATTGAGAACGGCAGAAAAGATTCTCTCTTCTTAAACTGTCCATTCTCCAAAAAGTGCTCTGGATTGAAGGTGTCTGGAGTGGCCCACTCTTTGGGGTCCCTGTGCAGAGCAGTCAAATTGGTCAGGATCATGGTCCCCTAAAGAAGATAACAAAGAGTCAAGACTTGATGTGTGGAACAGACCCAGACAAGCGATGGGGGTTCCCAAGCTCCCATTACTCTTTACACCCTCAGCTCCTCTAAAAATCCTATCTTTAGTCTAGATCAATTATGGATTGTGTGTCCTTAGGATATTACAGTGTTATTAGTCTGCTCTTTATTACAAAACACAAGTCTGTGGAAAGAGGTCAGCATTTGCCTAGGGAGACAACATGTCACCATCCTCGGGAACATAACTGGACATGGGGTGAACAACCATCAACCCAGCTCTTTCCTACAGTGAGGACCATGGAAAGTCTGCAAAAGAAATGATGACTCTTCCATTGTTGCTTTTCTAATCGTAACCCTCAATATGGAGACCTGTGAACTCAGTCCCTCAGCGTGGTTAGGAACACATCAAAGAAGCAGAGTAAGCAAGCCAGGTCCAACAGGCTCCCTGGCAGGGTCCCTGAACTCCCCAGAGTCTGGCTAAAGGCTCACTGACTCATCCTCCCCATCAGTGATCTGATCCATTCTATCAATCTCTTTTGTTTTGTCATGTCAATTACTACTTCTCACTGCTACCTTAGTGTCTCTTTGATCCATGTCTCCTCCTCCACAGTTGACAATGCCAACTATGCCATGAATACAACTTAACACACCACACTCCCACCTCTCATAATTTTCATTACTACTCTGCAGTATGCTTCCATCAGTCTTAGTATTAAGAGGTATTATTTAATTCTCTAGGATGAGTTTCCCTCATTGCCTGTTCTGCCATGGGCTGGTATTTATTTTCTCAAATATGACAGTTTTACATTCCTTCCAGTTCCCTGTAATCATTGTTTCTTTTGTTATGAGCAATCCTCCTCCTCAAATATTGTCTAAGTGAAGTCAAGCACTTTTCATTCTCAGGGCTAGCATCTTTTTCTTTAGAACCTCTGTTGTTGCTTCCCATACTCTGCTCCTCACTCCAGTCTATCTGCCTGTAGGAAGAACCCAGGGGTTTCCCCTGTGCATTCTCATTACTTATAATCTAGCACATGCATGCTTATTTTGTTCAGGATGTTTTAAGGACCAAAAATCTTCAACTGTGTAAGGAATGAAATGTATAACTGCTGTATGGAATGGGAAATTGCAAGTTTGACCTCTTTTTCTATATGAACTGTTCTGGGCTTCCACTGCATTGTACAGCTATAGAAATTAATGCTATGAAAGATTAACAGTTTTCTTAGAGTCACACAGTAGGCAGAGATGCAGCTACTTCTGGAACTAGGTCCCTGTGAGGTCAAAGCCACTGCCTCCCTTGGGTATTATCCGGTTAGATCATCAGTATCTAGAGCTGCTGTTACAGTTGACATTGTCAATCATTTTTTAGAGACTTGTGATGCGAAGGCCTGTGTCTGGGGCCTGGGGTTAAATGAATGGGTTGTATCTGTGTTTCCAGAGTAGACTGTTCTTGTCCCATCTCCAAAGACTTTCCTGGAGAACAATATGTTCTGAGAATCTAATACAAAATACTACAGATTCACAGAGGCTACCTCTGGTATTTATTCTTGATCTTGGCCTCCTGTATTTGATAATTGTCTAGGTAATTACAAAAGAACACCACTGATAAAAGCTGTGAGGACATTTCTAGAGATCATTAACTAATGGCAGTAGACTTTCTCTGACTATATGGTACCATAGTCCATGTTGAAGAACTGGATGGAATAAATCTTATGGGTAGTTAGCCTGCTACATGGTTTCTATTTTTTCCTGGCCACCATCATGAGGACTGATTTGCTGAGCCTCCCACTTGCTGCCATGCTGAATTGAAGCCTCAGAAATTTATTTTCTCACTACCAAGAAATGTCCAGCCTTTGTTCAGTGTCCAGTAAACAGAAAGAAGGGAAAGGATTGTGCCTTGAACAGAGGGAGTATGATGTGACCAGGAAAGCTCTCTACAAAAATCCTGAGTAGATCCTAAGGTGGGTTGTGTATTTTGTCTGTGATCAGAGAGAATGTTAGAGGGATCCATGAAGAAAAGTGTAAGAGAGAACTTTTGATGTCTAATGTAGCAAGTCCTTGGCAGTACAAATAACCAGAATAGTTCTGGATCCCAACTCTTCTCAGGCTGTATATTGTAGTAGAGAGATCTTAAGTGAATTTAATTCCCAAAGTCTCAACATTCTAATGTATAAAGTGAGAATCTATTATTATGAAAAGGGAATTGAGACATTTTCACATCATAAGTGTCCTCAGCACATGATTGCTTAGGAACAATCTACTTTTATCTCTTTTTTTCTTATAACTAATATTTCACTTTGGACTGGTTTTCTTTGTGAGATAGAAAGATCTCAACTATGGATAGTAAACAAGAGCTGGAAATTGCCTAAGAGCACAGATATGGCAAAGAACTACTGACTCCTCTGAGGCCACATTAACATCAGAAGATGCTAGGATGTCCTTCAGCTAATAAAGCCAACTTTTACTTTCTTTGCTGAAATCAAAACAGATTTCACCAAGGAATCTTCCTTTCTCTACTCCCCTCTGTACACATAATTATCACTGAGAAACATTGCAGGAAAGCTATTTTTTTCTTTTGTTCTGGGAACAATATCTCTCTCTCTCAGTTTAAATGTTTTCTTGGGGCAGAAATACATGTTACTTTTTATGTTTAGATTCCTCAGAAGATGCCAAGGATGGACTGGAACCCTGGAATCTGAGAGTGCAAAGTTACCTTGGGCAGGTGGAATCCAGCAAGTGTGCTATCAGCTGTTACTTCCCTGGGAGCATTCAGGGGGATGATGTTGCCCATCCTCTGCACCTCATGGATGACAGCATTGGTGTAGGGCATGGACTCTCGGTCAGCTGTGCCTGGCTGCCTCCCATGGCCAATCACTCTGTCAATCTCAGCGTGTACTTTTTCTGTCAGAAAACAGGGGCTCTGTTAGTTTAAAAGTTTAGTGTCTTTTATGAAGACAGAAAAGTTGTCTCTAAGATGTTATCCTCTTAATTTCATCCAGTTTTCTTCTTATAAAGGAACACCATGTTCCTCAGTTCCTCAAATGACTGCTTTGAAAAACTGTCTACTGTGTAATTTCCTTATTCTTACAAAATAGCATAGGTTTCCTCCTACCCTGAACTGATTAGCTATGATCAGCATGGTTAATGGCACATTACTAGCAAATCGGGCTTCTCAAATAAGTTCCCTTCACCTAGTGGTTTATAAAATACAAAATTTTAGTTTTCTGAGTTTGGAAGTCTGGGAAATCTACAATCAAGGAATCAAGAGATTTCTTGTCTGATAAGATTAATCTTGTCTCATAGTTGACAAAGCTTTACTGTGTCCTAGTGTCATAAGGGGAAGGGATCTTTTTTGGTTCCTGGTTTTAAAAGTAAAAATTTAAAAACTTATATTTTTCTATTAGTCCAAGAGTGAAGTCCATAGGACAGCTTGTAGGAGTCAATTCTTGTGCCTTCTGGATGCTGGCACTGAACTCAGGTGTTCAGGTTTGCAGGAATTCCATTTACCAGCTGAACCATCCCACTGGCTTCTCCTGTATCTCTTTTTTATATGCACTACCATTCAAGGCTTATCACCTCCTAATACCACAAAATTGGTAATTACATTTCAAGAAATGAGTTTATAAGAATGACACACACTTTCAAACTACTGAATGTCTGTTGGCTGTGATTTCTTAAGGAGATGTCTCAGAGTAGAAGGCACAGAGCAAGCTGTTCGTGGACATTATTTGCTGCTGAAGACACTTTCATTCTTCCAGGCTCAATTTCCTCATCAACTACTAAGAATAAGCAGGCTTCATTTTAATGATGTTTTGATAATTACATAGACTGATACAAACCAAACAAATAATTGAAACTGCTCACTCTTCCCCATGTAGTTTACCCACTTTCTATATTAATAGAGATTCCACTGATGCCCAGCTAAACATTTAAAAACTTGATTTCCTAGATTCATTTGTCGTAAATGTGAGCATGTGACTATGTTCTGGCAAAGAAAATGCAAATAGGCATGACGTTTTATCCTGGGACAAGGTCTGAAAAGATGGCTCCCTGCTTCCTTCCTCTCTTCCTTTCCTGTGGATACAAAGACTGTTCTCATGGGAACCACCCTAGAGAGTGTTGATCTTCACTCCCAGTTTAACACAGCAACAAGTTGAAAGGATTTGGAATAATAAGCCCATTACAAGGTATAGTTTAAATGTTTCTTCTGTGTGAGAAATAAATGTATATCCATGTATTACAGTCCATAAATACTTAAATGGGCATATGTATATAATCAAAATTATCATGAAAGCCATGCTTTGTTTTTGTGGTCAGGTCTTCGACTGTAGCCAGATAACCTCAAACTTGTATTATTTTTGCTTTATATTCACAAGTATTATGATTAATTGTGTGTTCTACCAATCTTGGGATCTTCATAGCAATTTTTAAGTGTATAAACCAATAACTATTCAGTCCATACCAAAGACTCAATTGAAATTTTGTGCCAAAGAAATTACTCCATTACTTTTAATCATAGCCTCAGGCAAGTTTTTAGGGGATGAGCAGAAGACCACCAGATTATTGGTCAAAGTATCACATGAGTAGCTGGCAATTGGTTGCAAATCAAGACCTAACTCTTTCTGAAGCCTTGTGATCTAGTTCTGTGGTATAATATTAACATTATTTTGAATGTAATTGTCAAGAAATTTTCATCTGAAAGTGACACTTAATGCTTATAAATACACTCAAGTTCCCATCCCTCATTCAACTTTTTGTGTCTAAGAAATTTGTTATTCTAGATAAATCACTTGCTTTGGGTAGGAGAGTTTCTATAATTTTGCAGTTGGTCATTTAACTTAGTATTTTGTCCTGAAAGCTTATCTGTGCTAGAGTAGTTATTAAAACTTCTTTTCTTGATGACAGAATATACTCTTTGGCTCATGTATGCCATACTTTATCTATTCATGGTCCATCAATTCTCTGATTGGTCCTACATCTTGACTTCTGTGAATATTGTAAAATAAACGTGAGTGCAATATCTGTCATGTATGTCTAGTCATATTCTGGAGCCTCTGCTACAGAAATCAAATCTGATCCTCAATAACACTCAAAGTTTTTAAAACTTAAATAGTCAGGTGGACACACATTTTAATTTGCAACCCAAGAACCATGTTGTGGAATTTTGAATAAAAAAATGTTTCCCAGAGGGTCAGGTATCTGAACACTTGGTGCAGGTCCTTGGCACTGTCTGTGGAGGTTATGGAACCTTTAGGAAATGTAGCCTTCATGGAAGAAGTATGTTACTTGTGTCAGCTTTGAAAGTTCATAGCCTTGCCCCATTTCTGGGTTTCTCTCTGCTTCCTGTGTCTAGTTGAGATGTGAATTTTTAGTTTTCTCCTCTGGCCATCTGCACCATGGCTTCCCCACATTAATGGAGTCTCTTCTTGGAACTATAAACCAAAACAAGCTCTTCCTTCAATAAGCTTTTGGTCATGGAATTTTATCTAGTTATAGAAGAATAACTAATACAGAAATTGATATAAAGAAATGATATAAAGAATTGATCAAAGAAATTGATATAAGTATCTGCTATGAAGATACTTAATATGTTAGGCTTTATATTATTTATATTTAGAGAAATGTGGAACACTTCATACGTTGGAATAGAGAAGTGATTTACTGCTATAAGCAGAGATTAATGGGTCATTCTAATAGGAGCCTGAAAGACAGTAGTGTAGGCCTAGATAATGAGGTTTCAGGAGGAAATAAGAACCTGATTTGCAACTGAGTTGCTAATCACTCATGTGATACTGTGATGGAGAATTTGGTTGCCTCTTCTGCTCTTGCCCTAAGAACTTGCCTGAGGCTATGATAAAAAGTAATGGAGTAATTTCTTTGGCACAAATATTTTAATTGAATCTGTGGTATGGTTATCATTAGTTATTCTTAGGTCTATTATTAAAAAGAGAAAGTTGCCGGGCGGTGGTGGCGCATGCCTTTAATCCCAGCACTCGGGAGGCAGAGGCAGGCGGATCTCTGTGAGTTCGAGGCCAGCCTGGGCTACCAAGTGAGTTCCAGGAGAGGCGCAAAGCTACACAGAGAAACCCTGTCTCGAAAAACCAAAAAAAAAAAAAAAAAAAAAAAAAAAGAGAAAGTTGTGCAGAATGAAATTAAAGATATAGAGCTTGGAAAGAAAAGGAGTACTAAAAGCTTAATGTTGTCCCCCAAACCTCTGATGGACAATAGGCTGTCATTGTTAAAGAAATTACTGCCATTAAGGAGAGGCCTACTGTGCTCACTGAAACAATGGGAAGCTTTCCCTGAAAGTAAGACTTTAGATAAGCTTTCAACTTGCAAAAAGAAAAGTTCCAAGGAGGTAACTCTCCTGCTTCTGGAAAACAAAAGCTAATGCAAATGTGATCCAAAAGGCCAAGGGCCATCACAACCTGGCAGCTGAACTTGTCAGTTCATCATCATGCTTTGGAGTTATGGGGGATGCAAGAATGAAGGATTTGATTCTTTTTATGGCATTTCAGACAGCTATGGAGGAAAGGTTAAACTAACAGTGGAGTCCTCTTTAGAAGAACATGAAAGTCCATTGCATGACATTTTGAAATTCAGTAGAACCCACAAGGTATTTGAGATGCCAGACCCATGAGACACCAGCAAAGGGTTTCACTCTTGCTGTGTTTCAGTATTTTCTCAGTATATCTCCATTCATGAATGGAAATGTATATTCTCTGCTACTGCATGCTGGAACTATATATATATATATATATATATATATATATATATATATATGTTTTGGTTTTACAGTAGGTCCCAGTTAGGGATTGCCTTGAGTCTTAGAAGAGGCTTTGGACTTTAGAACAGTATTGATATTGTTAAAGACAATGGAGACTTTTAAAGTTGGACTAAATGAATTTTGCATCATAACATCACCATGGGTATATAGGGACCAAAGGCCAAATGTAGAGGAGAAAATGAGAAATGTACTTTATAGGCTGTAGAATTTAAACACTTAGTCCTAGGTGGTGGGGCTGTTTGAGAAGCCAGGGTACCCTAAGGAAACAGAGCCTTACTGTAGGAAGTGTGTCACTGGGCATGGATGGGCTTTTAGGGTCCCTACCCTTGCCCTACTTCCAGTTTTGTCTTAGCTTTGTGTTTGCAGTTTAGATGTGATGTCTCAGCTTCCTGCTCCTGCTTCCCACTGGTTTCCTTCATGTGTAGTTATAGACTCTGTCAGTCAAAATAAACTCTCCTATATATAAGTTAGCTTTAGTTATAGTATTTTATCACAGCAATGGAATGTGGGTAGCACATATATGAATAAATATAGAAACAATAACATACATTTTGCATCAAGAAAGAAAAGAGGTTGGTTATGAAGAAATCTATGCAAACACAAGTACCTGAATTTGATCCCTAGAATTCATGTAAAAAATCCTGTTATGGTTGTATGCACTTCCAATTCTAATATACTGGGAGGCAGAGACAGGCAGATTCCTAGAGCTCATAGGCCAGATAGTCTGGTCTTCTTGGTGAGTTCCAGGCCAGTGAATGACCCTATCTCAAAAATTGGATGGAGCCCAAGAAATGACCAACTTATTTATACTATGTGGGACACATAGTAATCACTATTCTTAGTTTCATCTTATGGCAAAATAGTTGACTTAAATGTGCTACAGTGACTTTATTTTTCGTTCATGTATTCTTGCCACAATTAAAAAATGTCCCATAACATAAAAAATATTGTTCTTTTTTTTGTTTTTTGATACAGGGTTTCTCTGTGTAGCTTTGGAACCTTTTCTGCAACTTACTCTGTAACCCAGGCTGTCCTCAAACTCACAGAGATCTGCCTGACTCTACCTCCCGAGTGATGGGATAAAGGTGTGGGTCACCACCGCCTGGCTATGAAAAATATTGTTAACTCCCACCTGATAAATCAATTATTCTGTAATCTGGAGCAATAAAAATGATGGGATGTTCCAATGTTTCTGAAGGGCTGAAAGTCCCTGTGTGGTATTAAACAACGTGTAAAGCTAGGTGATCAGGCATCTTGTGGCATTTCTCAAGGGAGCTCATAGCTGCAAAAGCCAGGCAGTCAGTTCTTACTACAATATAAAACATCTTAATGTGTAATATCTGAGAAATTCTTCTGAAAGCTCAAGATATTGGGATAGTACATGCTTGGTAATGGGAAAGCTCAATACCATACTTAGAGGTAAAAATAAGGACAATGCCAATGGAGAAAATGAAATGTAGGGAGGCACAATGCAGAGTGTGAGTGATTGAGTCTGGACAGACAGAAGTGACATCAACAGGATGCCAGGTATCTGACTAAGGCATCTGGATGGTGTCCAGGGTAAATAGGAAGGCACTGCTGGAAAGGAAGGAGGGACTGAGTAGATTTAGATGCAACAGTGTCACTCTCTGCTGGAATGTATCACAGTGACAGCTAAATTCTCTGTATTTCCCTAGAACTGAAGATGCTGCAAAGCACAGAATATAAAATCTGCACCAATGACTTATCTCAATTCTGACAGCACAGGTGAAGGCCATGTTCTTTCCCCAATACACCAAAAAACTTTGCCTCATAACTGTTCCATGTCTTCCAATCTATCCTTCAAGCTTCTAGCCCCATCTAAACAAAAACTTTCAGGAGCACCCTTCTTCTTTGTCCAGGTTCATTCAGCATATGTTTACCTTGCACTTCTTGGTGTACAGTCATATAGAGGAGAGCCCAGCGCAGTGTCGCTGATGTTGTCTCTGTTCCAGCAAAGAAGAGGTCCAGAGTGCTGCAGATGAGGTTTTCTTCATTGAAACTTGTAGTCGTCTTGTCTGGGTACTAGAAGAGAAAGTGTGTATTGTTTTAGTTAGAGAATTTGCTTCTTGTTTATCTATCTATCTATCTATCTATCTATCTATCTATCTATCTATCTATCTATTTTATTCTCCTCTCACACATCACATCCTGACTGCAGTTTCCCTCCCTCCACTTCTCCCAGGTACCTCCCACTCTTCTCTCTCCCAGATCCACTTCTTGTTTTCCATTCAGAAAAGAGCTGGCCTCCCAGGTCTATGAACCAAACATGGCCTAATAATTTATAAAAACATTAGGCCCAAGCCCTCATATCAAGGTTGAACAAGGCAGCCAAGTAGGAAGAAAAGGGTATGAAGAGCAGTCAAAAGGGTCAAAGACACCTCAACTCTCCCTGTTAAATATAGCCTTTATATATATTCTAATATATTAGAATACATTAGATATATATTAGATATACAATACTATATATGTGTATATATATAAGAATGACTTGCAGGCTGTTATCTAGCTAGTCCAACAATGGCTATCTACCAACATGTGTGTGTGTGTGTGTGTGTGTGTATTCTATCAGCTCTGTTTCTCTATAGAACCCTAAGTAAAACAACACACATCTTAATCATAGAAAATGATATGGGAATATAGCAAATACCTAACATATGTTTTTGTTTGCTACAGAAAGAATAAAGCGAAATCTCCATGTTCAGTAGTTGTGCTATTCCCTCATTAGTCTTTCATTGTGAAAACCTCTCAAGTCTTAACAATAGTTCTTTGGAATGTAGAATTATCTTTGCCAACCTTCTCTGGAGGCATCAATTTGTTCATACTTCTCCTAGTTTTGATGGTCTCACACCTGAATTCACCATATGGTGAATATTTTGCCTCATCTTCTAGGGATAAAACATTGCTTCTATTGCTATTATGCCAGGAAAATGAAACAAAAGAGAAGGTAGAAAGGTATATAACACTGTACACTTGGTCAGAGAAGGAACCTGAAATTCACTGAGTCAAAGATTCTATGACAGATGTGATAATACAGATTCCTGGAGTCCTATTGAGACTATAACAGTTGCCATGGTCCATGGCATATTACAGCAGATGACAACTGATATTCATAAGGTCACTTCACCAGATGAATAACTCTCTGATGGAATAACCACATCAAGCAAGGATTGTGGGGCCATTGCCTATGGATGCTGCTTTGCTTCTGTCTGAAATTTTTCTCATGTGCCACTACATTTCTTCCCTAAAAACAGCTATGGGTATTTCTTCCACTGCTGGTGTGTTTATGTCCTGAACAGATTTCATCTACTGGGCTAACATACATCTGTGGATGGTCAGGAAGATGATTTCTTCTCAAGCTGTTTAATTTTGATGAAGAGAAATAATACCAGGATATTTTTCATAGCTCAGGCTGACAGAGAAAAATAACAGTATTCTCAGCTACAAAGACAGCTTTTTACACATTTAGCTAATTTTAGACCTCAGAGCTAGTTGCCCCTGAAAATGAATCACAGAAGGACAAATTCCCAGGTGTCTGGTTGTTGAACCAAGATCAGGTATAAAGCAAATTTAATGCCAGTTCTTCACTTGCTAAAGTCTGGATGATAACATTATACATATAACTCTCTGGGCAAATTATTTGAGCAAATGACGTTCTATATGAATCTCAGTTTTAACACGAGTCAAGGTTCAACAAACTAATTGTTTATGTTTAGGTCCTGGCATACTTTTAAGGTCACTGTACCTCAAGAAAGTGCTGAGCACTCTAACACTGTGTGTCTCCTGCCTGCTCACAAGGAAACTTGCCTGACAGCCAAGCATTGCCATGATTATGGTCAGCATAACATTTCAAGTCTGAGAGAAACTGTGTGATTTCACATGTGTAATCAGAATGGCTCTGCTTTTTTTTTTTTTTTTTACTCAAGAAATGCAATGTGACCCTCAATATGTAACTCATATATTGTCTAGAGTTTTCTGTTGGAGAGAGATGTACCTGTGTGGAAACAGAGAGATTTTCAAAAAAAGAGATTTTTCAAGATGAAGTAAAAAAGAAAGTTACCATCAGGACGTGTGTGTTTCTTTCTTAATACCCCTCAGATAGAAAAGTTTAATTCTCACTGACATCATGGATTTTTTTTGCATACCCTGGGTGCAGTCTTAGAATTAGATCTATAAAGACTGTAATAAGCATTATAATTAGCATTACGATCTGAATCTGAAACATCCCCTACAGGCTCATGTTTTTAATGCTTGGTTCCTACTTCCTACTAATTTGGAGGTTCAAAAGAATTAGGAGTTAGAGCCCTTTGGAGAGTTCATCCTCAGGAAAGTACTCAAAGTTATAACAAGGCCCTGGACTCTGTCTTTGGTCCTGCTTCCTGGTACATAATGATGTGCAGGCTCCAGCACACTCCTCTGCCACCATGAGCTAAGCTGCTCTGCCATTTCTTCTCTGTCATAATGGATTAAAAACTCCTGAAATTGTGAACCAAAATAAATATTCAGTATCTTAAATTGTTTCTGCAGAGTATTGTTACAAAGATGTAGTGGTAACACCTACATGCAACAGGCTACTTTCTGGCCTTTTGTGTGGTTGAAGAGTCTTGATACAGATTTAGTAGAAGGCATCAGTTCTACCCAGGCATTGAAGTTAAAGTCTAGCATTCAGTTAAACTGCCTCTGCCCTGCAGTGGGAACTGATATGGGGAGGGTGACTGGCCTCAGACTAACCCATCAAATACTACAACTCTGAAGTTTAATTGCTGCTTTTTTGTATATGTATAGTTACTTCACCTAAAGGTAAGTGGTACTGTCATATCTGAATTGAATGGCAGAAATCATAAAGCCAGCACAGTTGCTTGACAAAGATCCAGCAAAGCTGAGCTGTATGATGGCTGCCATGCCACCTTTGGTTTTCATCTTCACCTGTTGCATCCTTGGGACACTTTTTATATTTGTACATTTCGGTGATATTGGATTGATGGAAAATTTCTTATGAATCATTTATTCCTTCTCCCAGGAATGCTGCTTTTAAGCTTTCCCAGAACAGTCCTGAACATACCTATTCTCCTCACTTTTAGTGAGATATCCTTATCTGCTTGAAGGTCTTACTTATGCCTTGGAGATTATGACACATAAAGAAGTCAGAGGTCTCTTCATGAGGCTATGAGACATTCTTGAAACATCTGTCTCTGTACTTACTCATGAAAAAGCTAAACAAAACAAAGGATGGGCTAGAAGAGTTGGCCATCATTCAGATTATAAGCCTCTTCCCACTGTACACTCAGACAATTATATGACATACAACTCTGCCCTAATTAGAGACATATTGATGAGCAAAGTATAGAGTGAAAAGATAATAAAAGTGTGAGACATCAGGACCTCCCTTTCTTAGAAAAGTTAGCACATGCAGAGCCACTGTGGTTATGTATTACCAAGGAACAAGAGAAAGCCAGGATTAGACATATAGACAAATTCTATAAAGCTATAAATATGAACATTGTATTATGCCAAAATTTGAATAATGACTACAGCAGCTTTGGCCTGAGGATTTTTTTCCTGGGTACTCTGACCACTAAGAGTTAATAATACACTGCTTGGGACATGGCAAAAAGCCCAGGGTGGCTTGAAGATTTTATTTTAGTCTAGTGTCCTTGAAGCAACCAAAGCTACCAGCCTGAGAACAGGCTGTCATATGCCTCTAGATTCTTAAAAATTGGGTTATGGAGTTAATGAGTAAGAATGATAAGTGTATATTAATAATGGCAAAACCTGAGGGAAAATGACTGGAAATGATAACTGTTCTGTCAAGTTTAGTAATGATGACTAAAAGATGAACAAAAGGAAGTGAAACACATGTGCAAAACCCAAAATGGTATGATCTATGTTTCCGAACATCATGGATGTATTTTGCTTACTAAATTCTGCATAAATAAAAAAGCACCCTGGCTGCTAGTCAGTCAGGCTTCAAGATTCTCCCAACCAACATGGCCTGGCTCATTTCCTTCCCCTGCTGACTACTTCCATCCTCTGCTGTGACCTGCACCACTGGGGATGACTCCTCTCTGTCTATCTCTCCTAAAATGAAACTAATAAGTATCCCATTTCTGATGCTTCCACCACCGCTGCTCTTGTATACACCCATCTTCAGACCCTGCTTTCATCTGGAGCTGGACTCTGGTAGGTAAGGTCAAGGAGGGGCATTCAGTGCCACTATCTGTCATTTTCAGGAACTCATGCAAAACAGCAGTGGACCTTTTGCTTCTAATGATATTCCTGGCGTAATGGTACTATATATTTCTAAAATATATTTATAATTTATAGTTGTACTGTGTATTAATCATTGACCTACAAAGATGCCCACATCTTCTTTTTATAACCTGTGTATGTTATTTGGTAAGCTAAAATTGACTTTGAAGATGTGATTAGAGAGAAGAATATTAGCCTCAATTATCCTTATTAGAGGGGGCTTGAGCATAAGAGCCAGAGAGAAGAATTATAAGATGGAAAAAGACAATGAGAAATGAAATATGATACATGCTTGATCCTGAAGATGGAGGTAGGAGCCATAAAAAAGGATTATCAGTGCCAGCTGAGAATTTGGAGCATTGTGGTAATGGGATCTCTATAATCCTCAAAAGAAGCTCAACTGACCAAGAGGAATAGGAATTCATCTAGTACTGAATCAGTGCAATGTTATACCCTTAAATGTATGGCAGTGTGATGCAGGATCAATTGGGAACTACTAAATCATTATATTTTTTCTAAGAAGACCCAGGCAGCATCTTCCTCACCTTTGCCATTTCTGTAAAGAAAGCGTCAATGAAGTCTCTTGGCTCTTCAGGATTCCAATCTTTCCGGTGACTGTCCATTATTTGGGAAACAAACAATTTCAGCTTTTCCCACTTTCTGAAAACTGTTTGATGTGATCCAGGAAGATATTTCATTATGGATGGGAAGACATTGTAGAGCTTATAAAAAAAATAAGAAAATCTTGGAGACACAATGGAGTAACATTTCTACATTTCTAAACAGTCTTGTCCTTCCCTCTGCTTCTCTTAGTGGAACTTTGAGGTCGTCTTAGTTTCTGATTTCCTTCTCATCACTGCACATGCAGGAGTTTCAATTGTGCCATGCAAAATGTATGAGGCAACAGGCTGATGATAACTAGCCCAATTCCTTGCTCCCTAGTCTACATCATCATCTCTCCTATCTGAATGGTAGCAAACTTTTTGATTCCATTGCTCATGCCTTCTCACATCGTTTTGCAAATAGTTTTGGAAGAGATTATTTGCCAAAGTGTTCATATGGCTCCACTCCTTGACTTAAATCCTCAAAAGTCATCCACTGCATTCTAAGCTAGACACACCACTTTGAACCAGTAAGCGTTACAGAGCTGGAACCCTCAAAATCTTCACCACTATCCATGTTTCAACACTGTCTAGCCATGGTCAATGCTATGATCACATCGAGGTCATTATCATTCAGGCCTATGCAGTTGGGATCGATTGTGATTAGAAAATATTTCTGAAACTAGCATGATCCCTGCCCCTCACTTCATGAAAATAATGTTCAAATGCCATGACTTGGAGCTTTGCTACTTGATTATAGTGAAAGTTATAGGCATCTTGCCACCCTATTCTTTTTTTTTAAATTGTTTTTTTGAGACAGGATTTCTCTGTGTAGCTTTGGAGCCTTTACTGGAACTTACTCTGCAGCCCAGGCTGGCCTGGAACTCACAAAGTGTACACTACCACCACCCGGCTTGTCACCCCATTCTAATACTTTGTCAGGATTTATTTTCCCTCAGAGAAATTACACTAATATGTATTGTGCAGGGAGCTGTGTATGCTGGTGTCCACAACATGATTTAATTTCCATATGGTAAGATGGCAATCTTTACTGAAGTAAATTGGATAGTGAGTAAAGTTTCAATAATATTTTGCAGTAAACAGTATAGCACAGTGTAAAATCAATAATACTTAAAATAAGGCAGTTGTGTGGTTATAGCTTCTATTACCTTCAGGTTTGATAACAGTTATAACAATATTCATAAAATTAATACTACTTACATTAAAGTAGATCAACACTTATTATAATTAATATTGTTAAGAACATTAAAGTTTGTCAATATTTAAAATCATTAGTAACATTAAAATATGTCAATATTTAATGTTACTAATAATATTTAAGTAATGTTAATATTAGACTGTTTACTAGTGGAGTATCTTTCTGTACACTGAATGTTTTGAAATGTAAAGCATTACACAGAGGTCTGGTGGATTATTGTCTATATTTGCATGTTTACTTTTGTACCAGGTTTCAGACATCATGCTGCATCATTCTATATGTAGAGGGACATGGTGAAAATTAATGGACATGTACTTTTGCAGTGATTATCAAAGTGCCTAATGTAATTGGCCATGTCAAGAGTGTTTTGACTATTACTCTTTGCCACCTCTTTGTTTCCCTTCTAAGATTTTCCCCCGGTACATAGACCTAGAAGTTGACTGGATACTCACTGAACTCATCTGACTTCCTAGGCTCTGCTTACCAGAAGGAAAGCAATGGAGCTGATGGGCTTGGAATTACTGTGACTAAGAGTTAAAACAAGGAATATAAAATAGTGTAGACAATATGTACAACCTGTCTCATTCTTTATGCCCCTTTTATTACCTAAAAGTCATGCTAATCCATGCATCAGTTTTAGTGAGAGCATTCCTGGACTTGAGGAGAAAGTGCTTGTGGGAAGAAGGTAAGTGAGAATAACTCCACTTTGGGGTATATCATACATAAGTGGATGCGTGAAAACAGAAGGTTGTAAAGAGAAAATGAACTTTGGCAGGACCACGAAGTATTCTTCAGATTCATTCTCTCTGGAGCCTTTGTGTAGCCCCTGTATGCTAACTCTAAAACATCCACAACTGTTACCTCTACACATTCCAAAAGAGATGTCCAAGTAAACCTAACCCTTAGCACAGAAACACAATAAATGTGAAAACACAAGCTGGGAGAATGCCACTAAAAATCATTACCCCCTGAACAAATGAACTCAATGGTATTAAAAACAAGGTAAGTGATACATGAAGAATTAGAAGGTTTTCTTATAGAAATGATCAGTGGCCTAAAAGAGCATGCAAATAGGCAAATGAATTCTATACAGGACCTGGACCGGAAAGTCAGGAAAGTAAAGAAAAAAGACAACAGAAACAATGAGAAAATCAGTAACATGGTTGAAAAGGTCAGTAACATGGAAGACAAATGCATCAAAGAAACAAATTTTGAAGAAGAAAATGAAAATGTTAAGATATGAACAGCTTGAGGAGTCAAATAAAAACACACAATGAAAAACATTATCAACAGACTAAATTAAACAGAAGACTATGGGGAATGGAGGACAACGTTGAGAAATATTGAGTTCAAATATCAATAGATAATAATAATGAGCATGAATACATTGTCTAAGAACTCTGGAATACAATCAAGAAACTAATCCTATACACATAGAGTGCTAGAGCCAGAAAAAAATATTATTTAATACTGATAATGAGGGGTAAAGAGAGGATTCAGCAGTTAACAGCTATGGTTACTGTTTCAAAGGACATAGGTTTGATTCCCGCACTAAAATTGTGGCTTGAAACATCCTGTAACTCGTTTCAGGGGATCCAAGTCTCTTTTCTGGCCTCCAAGGCACTGCACATGTGGGGTACGAACATACACACAGGCAAACCTCCCACATGCATAAAATAAATAACTTCCGATATACATAAAATAAAAATAAATCTTAAAATTTTAAATGAGAGAAAAATAAGTATATTTCAAGGAAAGTAAAAACTAGGGCAATTCAGCTCTACTAAGCCAGCAATGGAGAAGGTGATTAAAGAACCATTACACACAGAAGAGGAACAAAATAATGTCAATCATGAGGACACAGGAAAGACTAAAAAAATGGCTGTACTATGAAGGAATCTATTTTAATTAACACAATTAACAAGCCAACCAGCAACAGTGATAGAAAAGAAAACAAAAAATAAACACTAACTCAACCAACCAGAGAAATAACTGTCAAAATTATAGGAATTAGTGAAGTAGTGGGGATTATTCAACAATAATCTGAAATGTCAATGCCTCCAACACAGAAAAAAAATAGACTGAACAAAAAAACCTAGACTAACATTGTACTGTTTCTAAGAAATAAACCTTATTGGTAAGTGCACCCAGAAACTGAGAGTTACTATAAAGAAAATAAACTACCATCAAGCAAATGAAAATTAAAAAGATACAGTTCTAACTATCCTGTTATCTGTGAAAGTAGATTTCAAATCCAAACTAGTTGAATGTGACTTTTAAAAAGGCACTATGAATTGATAAAGAACAGTTACTCAATCAGGACAACTGTAACTAAATATTACTCAAAACAAATTCAGGGCTACCAAATTCACAAAATCAAAAATAATTAAGATAAAAATACCAGAGGAGTCCTGAAGTAATAATAATAAAGGATGATTTGGGTAAGCTGCTCAATCATAGTGCATAAAATTACTATTTGTTTTTAAAAATGGAAATTCATACATACACGTATATGTACCAATGTCAATAATGAAATAGTTCATATAAATGTTAGAAATGTATTGTATATTCTAAGTTCTTATATTATAAATTGGTTTGTATCAAATTCAACTGTTAAGACATTATATAATATTTCAAAAACCCCCAAATAAAAAGTCCCTGCTTTTGAATGATTCCTAATCCAAAAATCTTCCCAAATATGCAGAGACCTTACCACACACATCATTGATGCTTCCAAGTATATGACCTCATTTGATAACCTCAGCAGCTCCTGAAACTGACCATCATTATACTCAAAGCGTTTCCCAAAGGTGATGGAGCAAATGACATTGGAAACTCCATTGGTGATCTTGAGGTGAGGGTCAAAAGGATGTCCTGGAGGTATGGAGAGGTAATGTGTCTTTCAAAGATATTGATTTCCTTCCTTCCTTCTTTCCTTCCTTCCTTCTGTCTTACTTCTTCTTCTTTCTGTTTTTACAAAGATTCTACACCGTGTGACATAAAATATGGACAATAGAGCATCATATGAAAATCTCTGGCTACATCCCTCTACAGGGGGCCTGGCACAATTCAAGGACTTTGTCAATATCTGTGAAGTCACATAGAAAACCAAACTTTAAGTTCAACAATTTGTTTAATGACCCATTTGTTTGCTTAGCTGTAGAACTCCTGGGGCAAGGGCTTGACTAGATGTTCACTGTTCAGTCCTCAGTGCCTACCTAGCACAGTGCAGACCCAAGACTAGAATTTAGACAATTAATAAGAATCTGTTCAATGAATGAAAGGGCCACAGCCTCCTGCACTGCCCTGTAAAGGACTCACCTTCCTCCTCTCCTATGGCATCTGCAAGGTGGAGGGCCTCCTCCTGTATGCGCTGTTCTAAACTCTTCTTCCCCAATCCAAAGTTCTTGAATGTCATTAGTGCGAACCTTCTTTGCTCCTTCCATGTCTGGCCACTGGACATGAGCAATCCTGGAAAGAAGAGATTCAGCATTATGGCATTGTGATTGTGGTTAAAAGTACCAGAATAACTGTTACATTAAGACATGTGTACAGAGGAAAAGAAAGGCCAATAAGTGAATTGATAGCTGTCTATAGATATCTCAATGCAAGTAACTAACATGTTCTGGTGACTTGAAACAGGACATAGTTTAGTAAGTACTTCTTATGTATTATACAACTTTGTACTGATAGAAACTAAACAAGTTTATCACCAATTAGCAAAATGTCCATTTCAACACTGAGGTATGATAATAAATTTAAAGTAATCTTTGAAAGACAAGTAGGTGGACATCCAGGTGTTGTTCAAGTTTCCCTGGTTCTAAAGCCACAAATACATTATTCGAAATATATCTATTTATGTCACAGTGAGTACCAGGAATGCACTTATGGATAGGACAAAGCACACATTACTAACAAAGCAACAAAGGCATTATAGAAGAAGTTCTAGCAAACACAGATTTAAACAGATGACAGTGTGACTCATGAAGTTAAGAAGGATGAGTAGTCCTCACACCACATATACATATGCACAGAGAGGTGGAGGAAAAGAGGAACATTCTGGTGTTCTCAACATCAATTTTGTATCATGGTACATACAGTGCTATTCTCCTATCCATGTCTTACATTTCAGAACAATGTTCAACTCTTTAAAAACAGGTGGTGGCCTCTAGCTAATGTATTCTTTCATCAATTCAGTCATTTATTTCCTGAAACTCTCCTTTCCATTCTAGATCCTTGAGTTGTAGATTTTCTTCCTAAAACTTTGTAAGAAATTTTCTATAACTTTTGTTGTTTTACTTTTTTATATTAAATCTTGAAACATTGGAGTTAAGACTAGGTCTAAAACCTCCCTTCCACACCAAACTATGTTTCAGGAAATCTAATGAACTCCTATAATTTAAATAACCCCTTCTGAAAGTCAAACTGTAGTTTGTCCCAGAAGGCACACATTCATGAATCATGCTCCTGATTATAAACACTGCAGTTACAGGAACTTACACTCACCACATGTATGACAGAAGTCATTATTAGATTCCTGAAACTCCCAAATGGAAGTCAACATCACTAATCACCTTGTCTTCTGTCACTGTCATCTTTGATCACTCACAGCTCCTGCAGTGTCCTGAGAACCCCATTTTCCTGGCATCTAAGTCATATGTCATGATGGCTTCTCTCTTGAATGACTTCAGTCCATGAGCCTGAACGGCACCATCCCAGTCTAACCTACTGTCATTTTTGTCATCTTGAGTGTTCAGACTCCTTCCTGTATAACTTACAGTGATAATATCCTTGCTATCATTCTTCTGTTCTCTACCTGGCATCTTAAGTGTGTCTCAAAATGTGTAGTATTTGGTCTTTTTCTCACAACTAAAACCACTGAAGAGTTTCTCTTACTGTTATGATGAAAACCGTGACCTGGGCTGTTTCTTGCCAACCTCAAGAGACTTATGTCCACTTAATATTTCCCTCAGATACTATACTTTCCACACTGGATACCTTGCAGTTCTTTAAATAACTGTATTCTTGTCCTTTCAATGAAATTCTATCCCTACTGAGTATTTTTTTCATACTATTAAATAAATATCGTTATTTCAAAAACATTTCCTGAATCCTAAGCCAACTTGATGTCTTTGATAAAGGCTTTACTATTGCAGCATGACAGGATTTAAATCAATATAGCTCATTGATTCAGACTTTCTTGTTAGATAAAGTATGTGTCAAACAATGAAAATGATTTTTATCTATTCTGCTCACTATTAATCACATATGCCCCTGACTATGCTTCTTATAGCAGATAATACAGTCAGTGATGTACTATTAGTGGTTGATTGTTTCAAGGTATAATTAGGAAATGGCAAAAATTTGTATAGATTAATACAATTAAAGTCTGTTTTCAACTTTCAGACATATAAGTTGATTTAATAATCACTTTGTATACTCATGCTAGTCTATTCTCACAGTGTCTGGAATGCTAGAGATCCCTGTGTGGCATAGCTTTAATGATATAGTTAAGGAGCCATAAGAAAGAAGAGAAACCCCAGGAGGAAACTGACTCATATCCATTTTCTTAGGGCAGAAGGTTGGAGTAGGAAAAGGGAAGTGAAGGCTCAGTGTGTCTTGCTGTGGAAGGAGCTGCTCTTACTTCTTATCCATGCATCTAGATTTAGTAAGCAGGATATGTGGTTTTTCTGTCTCTCTTACAGGGAGAGACTGTAATTTGCTTTGATCTAGGAAACTGGGCAGGCAGGTGGATTTAAAGATAACATTTTATGAAGTGTTTTATTCACAAGAATGTTAAAAATTACAGACATAGAGGTACCTTTAACATCACATACACACATCTTATAATTTATTATAAGCAATATTACCTGTTCTTCTTTCTTTTTAAAAATTTCATACAGGTACAATACATCTTATTTATATATTTTTTTTCACTCCCTTCATGCAGCTCTACCTGGAACCTCTCCTAACCAATACGTGTCCCATTTTCAATCAAAATTAATGTTTTTTAATTTTGAATAACCTACTAAAGTCAACAGTGCTGCCAATCAAACTTACCAGTGTTATTAAAGACTCGTTCTCTGAGAGGCATCATGGGGCGTTTCAAAAAGTTTTGTTCCATGTGAGTTAAAACTTCTTTGATTAAGGGCATTCCAGTTATGACTACTGAGGGGATGTTACCAAAATCCAGGCTAATTAGGTTTCCATACTTCTTCACAAACTGAAAAACATTTCAATAGCCATAGTTAAGTGTGACTGTGTCAGTGTGTCAAGGGATTGCAGACATGTGTGTGCCTAATGACACTGTGTTTAGAGGTCTCCATGTTAATGTGAATAGAGGGATGCACCTTGGTCTGTGGAAGTGTTTCTGAAAAGGTTTTCTCCATCTCTGAACTAAATTCAAATTCAATAAAGAAGTTTACTCTTTAAAATATCATTTATATATGTAAGTATAAATTGTGTGGGTATCTATCATATACTCTTAAAGGAATATATAAGCACGTAAGTGACAAAAAATATGAAATGTCTCCTCTGATGTTTCCCAAGTCCACCAATGGCAGAGAATAAGACACATGTGACCTGACAAGGGCTGAGGAAGGTTGGTGCGTGTTTTTTACAGCATGCATGGACTTCTTAGAAAATCAAATATTCGTTAATGCTGTTTACTCAGCATCTGCTAGATATGAGATGTGCATGTGTAAAAATGAGAATAACACCGAAGGGAGGTCATGCACCTGTGTGTGGAAAAGTTATCTTGGTGTAAGAAGAATGTTATAGTACTTTCCTCCTAATATTATTCACTCTATCAAATTCTAACTCATTTTAGAATTTGAAGTTTCCTTTTAAACTTTTATTCTTGCATTCACCAATAAGAATTGAGTGAGAATCAATGTTTCCCTAAACTAAATCATGATGATATAAGTGTTTTTTTTAAAAAAGCAAGGTCTCTAATTGTTTTAGGGTTTCTATATCTCAGAAGAGACACCATGGACACAGCAACTCTTATAAAGGAAAAACATTTAAATGAGGTGGCTTACATTTTCAGAGGTTTTGTCCATTATCATCATGGCGCAACATGGTGATGTTCAAGGAAACATTGAGCAGTAGTCAAGAGTACTTACATTTTGACTCACAGGCAACAGGAAATGGTCTGTCTCATTGGTTATGGCTTCAACATGTGTGAGACTTCTTAGCCTGCCTCCACAGTGACATACTTCTTCCAACCAGACCACACATACTCTAACAAAGCCACACCTTCTCATAGTGCTATTCCCTTTGGAGGTCATTTTCTTTCAAACCATCACATTCCACTTCCTGAACCCAAAATGCTAAAAGTCATACCATAATACAAAAATACTTTCAGTCCAACTTCAAAAGTCCTCATAGTCTATAATAGACTGAAACTCATTTACAAGTCTAAAATTTAAAGTCTCTTCTGAGATTCATGTAATCTCTTAACTGTAATACCCTGTAAGATCAATATGAAAAAGCAGATCACATACTTCCAACATGTAACAGCACAGGACATACACTACCATTCCAAAATGTAGGGAAGGCATCATAGTAAAGAAATATTGGATGAAAGCAAGATGAAAAACCTGCTGGGCAAATTCCAAACTCTGCATCTCCATGTCCGATGTCAAAGTATTCTTCAGATCTCTGACTCCTTTCAGCTTTTTTGACTGCAACGCTCTTCTTTGTCTTGGGCTGATTCCACTCCCTGTCAGCAATTCTCCTTGACAGGTATCCATATCTCTGGTGTTCCAACATCTTGGGGTCTCCAAGGCTATCGAGTTTTCAAATGGACAGCTTTATGAAATGGCCTCTCTAGGCCTCCATTGAGTGACACCCCGACACATGCCTGGCCTCAGTGGCTTTCTTTAAATGTGGAATCAATATCCATAGTCCATTTCTCCTATCCTTGACTCTAAAGCCAGAACCATATGGCCAAAGCTGCCCAATTCTGCTGCTTACTGGGACAGTAACCTACCCTCCTCATTCAATTATATCTTTCCAGCTTTCTATTTTCAATGATTCCTTCACTGCCTAAGCTTGGTTGTTCTGGAACTTGATCTATAGACCAGGATGGCCTCAAACTCAGAGATCTGCCAGTCTCTACCTCTGGAGTGCTGTAATTAAAGGCATGTAGCACAACACCCAGTTCTAAGCTTTTCTTTAATTCCCTTTCACAAGTTGGAAACTTAGTTGGGTGGGATCTTGGCCTGAGGTCACCACATTGTTTATTTCATTTCTCAATCTGTTTATCTCCTTTAACACAGAATTTAACTCCATTCTTCTTCCTGGTGCTCTTTTTCTCCTTAAATTGCAGATTTCATAATTTACCCTGCTCAGCTTGTTCCTTTTCATTATAAATCTTCATTAGAGTTACCACTAATAACCAGGTGTCAGTTTATACTAGGCTATTTTGAGACTTCCTCTGCCAAAATAATTAATCCAAAAGTCTTCACTTTAGCCTTGGGCAGCCTCTTCAAACAAGAGCAAAAGGCAGCCACTTTCTTCACCAAAATATCTCAGGAAAGATTTCTAGGCCACATACTAAATTTGTTCTCCTCTAAAACCTCTTGATCCAGCCCCTCACAGTTCAAATAACTTAGCACCACTGTCTTCCATGCTCCTACTAGTATGGCCCATTAAGCAGCACTTAAAGCATTCAACTGATTTTCTAACCAATAGTCTAAAAGTCCATATTCCTTCAAACAAAAACATGGTCTGCCTATCATAGCAATACTTCAGTTCCTTGTACCAATTTCTATCTTAATTAGGGTTTCTATTGCAGCAAAGAGACACCATGATCATGTCAACTATTGTAAAGGAAAAATATTTAACTGGGGTGGCTCACATTTTCAGAGGTTTAGCCCATTATTGTAATGGTGTAACATGGTAATGTGCAGTCCGACATGGTTCTGGAGTGGCTGAGAGTCCTTACATCTTGATTTACAGGCAGTAGAAAGTGATCTTATTGGTCATGGCTTGAGCATATATGAAATCCCAAAGCCTGCCTCCATAATGACCTACTTTCCAACAAGACCATACCTCCTCCAGCAAGGCCACACCTCCCAATAGTGCTGCTCCCTTTTGGAGCCATTTTCTTTCAAACCACCACACCAACCTAGTGTCTGGTAAAGGCAGAGAAGTAAGGGCATCAGTCTTCAGAGAGTTATAGCTGTCTATGTATAAGTGTGTTGTAGAAATCATCAAAAGCCTTAATGAAATTTACATTATCAGTATAGGGAAAAGAATGCTCTCTGTCTAACTATTAGTACAGTGGTTCTCAACCTTCCTAATGATGCAGTCTTTTAACCTCAAGTTGTTGTGACCCATCCAAACATAAAATTATTTCATTGCTACTACAAAACTATATTTTTGCTACTGTTGTGGATTGAGTGTAAATACATGATATGCAGGATATGTGACTTCAAACAGGTTGCAACCGACAGGTTGAGAACAACTGTATCAGTGCATACAGAAAATACATTCAAGGATGGAGGCTCGGTGTGGTTGTATCTCTGAAGATCTTTAGAGATGTAAACATGCAGGTTGTATAGTTAACTAACTGTGGGCTCTTGGGGCATGTGCTCTCTTTCAAGTCTCAGATCGCCAGTTATAAGAATAAAAAAGCATTTCCCCTTCAAAGGGTACTGTGAAGAAGAAGGAGACAAGCACTTTGTAAAATATTTGTTTAGTTCTAGGACCTGGTCACCCACCGTAACTCTGAAAAATGAATGAGCTTGTGTTCAAAGGCTCAGAGATAAATATGCATCGTGAGCCAGTATAAGCACCTACTGTTCCCAGACAGTCATACTCATTGAATGAATGCTAAGTATGTATCTTAATTAGGGTTTTATTGCTGTGAAGAGACACCATGACCACAACAACCCTTATAAAGCAAAACTTTTAATTGAGGCTGGCTTACTGTTCAGAGGTTTAGTCCATTATCATCATAGTAGTAAATATGATGTCATGCAGGCAGACATGGTGCTGGAGAGGTAGCTGGAAGTTCTACATCTGGATCCACAGGCATCAGGAAGTGATTGTTAGGCACTAAACATGGTTTGAGCTTCTGAGACTACAAAGACCATCCCCTAGTGACACACGTCCTCCAACAAAGACACACCTACTCCAGCAAGGCCACAACTTCTAATAGTGCCACTCCCTATGTATCTATGTGAGATATTTTACTCAACCCACAAATTATGCTTTGTGATTTACTCCATTCTTTATAACTGTTCTACTGTGGTTAGGATTTTCTTTATCATTCTGAAATGGCAAACAAGTTGTAGGTGAAGTAATCTAGCCAAACTCAGCTTTGGCATGGAGAAAGTGCCAGGCATTATGTAACATTTGAAGACAAATACATCAATGTTGATATGTCCCTAGGGCCTAAGAGTTAGTCGAAGTTAGAGTATGGGGAGCAGTCATGAAGACAAAGAGGTAGTTTCAGAGAGAATGTGAGTGTCCATGAAATGCACAATGTACAAATCATGGTTTGGTTTGAATGACAGTGCGTGATCAATATCAAAGGACCTTCTACTTGTGTGCTCAAGAGTCAGAACTATATAGACACCAGCTTTGTCTTTTCTTTGGCTGAGTCTTTTCTAACTGCAACAGTGTTATCAGACAGAAGAGTTCAATTTCTTCATGTATCTTTGGTCTACCACATCCACAATTTCATGTACTGTCACCCTACACTTTGAGACTTGAACCAATGGGAACAGCACTAAATCAGATGTCATAATTTGGTCTCTCTGAGAATCTCTTACCTAACATTAAAGATTGAGCCTAGACTCAGTCTTCCCTTTATTCTTTATCCATAGTCCTTAATAACTTCATTTCACCTCAGTCAATCTGCCATGTCTTGGTTATAAACACAGAGCCAATAAGTAAAGATATATTTTTAAGAGATATCAGCAATGAATGCATAAAAATCAATTACATTTCTAATTTCAATGTCCAATGAAGAAGTTCTAGAAACAACTGAAAATCTGGTTTAAGCTAAAGGACTCCTCACTGGCAATGTGTACTACCCAGATTTTGTCCTTGAACTTGAGAAGGAACCAGAGATTAAGGACTAAGATAAACAACTTTTTGTTTTTTCATCATCTCATAGCCTATGTATATTTCTAGTTCAACAGAATTATATCACTATGTTTTATATTGTTACCAACCATATAAAGATGAGAGGTCAATTGACGTTTGGATCTCTAGCCTTATGATTCTCAAATGTGTCAGTTCTGTCTGTAAATAAATGACTCAGATTATGTCTCAGAATATGTCATAAATTAGGGCATATTTTTCACTGTGTAACATTAAGTCAATAAAAAAATAATTTAAAAGGAGGATAAAATGAAGATAGGCCATGGATGGAGGGATGGCTGAGTGGTATAAAATAAAGATAGGCCATGACTGGAGGGATGGCTGAGTGGTAAAGTAGCTTTTACAGATGATCTGATTTCTATTCCCAGGACCCACATGACTGCTCCAAACTGTCTGTAACTCCAGTATCAGGGGATGCAACACCCTCTCTGGCCTCTATTGTCACCAGGCATGCATGCAATACACAGGCATAGATTCAGGCAAAACATTTATATAAATTAAATAACAAAATACTTATTTTAAAATAAGGTAGTTCAGAAGGCTAAAAAGGGCTTAAAATGGAACTAATGATATAAAAATGAAGAATGCTGGATAAAATAAGAGATATAATGATTAAGAAAAGCAGTAGAGACAAAACATTAATAGTAGGAGTGAAATATCCATATGTAGTGTAAAAGAACAAGGTTTAGCAGAGGGAATGTTTAGAAGAAAAGAGAAATTTCATTCCAAGGATTAGTGACACAAGACACTGAGCAATGAATAGCAACTTGAGAAAGAGTTCACTATATCAAGGTTCTTAAACTTAAGATGCAAGGCAACAGAATCAGTTAGAAAGAAAATGAAAAAAATTGTAGCAATTAACTTTTCCATAAGGAATAGGTAAGAAGGTTTATTAGCCTGCATTCTTAAAGCATTGGTCATTGAGGTGTGTGTGTGTGTGTGTGTGTGTGTGTGTGTGTGTGTGTGTGTGTGTCTGTGTGTCTGTGTTCCTAATGGGCACAAGAGTTCCATTGTTTCTGTTGCCTCAAAGTTTAACATATTTCTTTTTATTTTTGTGTATGTTCACTTGAGTGAGAGAGTATGGAGGCCAGAGTTCAATCCCAGGCATCTTTGTCAGGGGCCATGCACTTTGATTTGTTTGCTTCTTTTTGTTTGGTTTTGGTTTTTTGAGTCAAGGTCTCTCATTGGCCCAAGAAAGCTATGCTGGCTAGTCCGTGAGCTTGGGAGATTTACTTGTCTGATCATTCCTAGTCTTGAGATTACAAATCCAGGCTACTACATAGGACTTTTTTATATAGGTTCTGGGGACTGAACTGAGATCTTTCCACCTGCATGGTTAACATCACCCAGCCAAAGACCAATGCCAAGTGCTAGGAAGTTTGGTAAGTTTAGCTTTAAGAAAATAACAATCCAATGTAGATCAACATTCAGTTCTTATCATCCCAGGTATCTATCAATTACCTGACAAGGGAAAGTCAGCAAGCACCTGACAGAACCAGGTGCAGGTCAGGATCCTGGAAGAAGTAGCTGCTCATGAAAAGTGAGGTGGGAAGCAAGACTGCTGAGCACCCTCTAGGGTGAAGTGTCTCACTGCCTGCTGCAGTAGTGAACTTGCTTAGTTTCCAGCCAGAAGCCTGAAGGAGTTTGAGTAGGAAAGTTAATCCAATGGGCCTTCAACAATTTGAATGGAGAGACCTCTAGCCTGCTTGAATCCAGATTCTTGTTCTTACTATGATTTTACTTTGGGGAAAAACTAGTGAGGTTTTAAGTATCTTGATTTTTAAACATATGAATTATAGAATGTTACTACTTTGCACACTTAACTTTATTGTCATAAAAAAGCAGTGATACCAAAATAAAAACTAAAAATATCATTGCTGTTTCGATATTAAGGAATGTATTTTATAGGATGGTAATGGGAACAAAGGAATGGAGGAGCAGAGCTCAGATAGTAGGCATATAAGCTTATCTAGCAATTAGATCACATAAACAGTACCTGATATGCAAAACCTAGAGATGATTATCTGTTAAATACTCCAACTGCTTTGCTCTTTGAGGGGTCCTGAGTCCAATTTTCAGCAAGCACATGGTGGCTTACAGCGATGTACAATGGGATCTGATGCCCTCTTCCCGTTGAAAGCATACATACATGCAAAGCACTCATACATAATATACATGAACAAATAAATTTTGGGGCAAAAGAAAAAACAAAACACAAAAGCCAATTGGTTTTCCTGGAGTTTGTTGCTATCATTTATTAAGAAAGAGGCATAATATAAAAAGAAAAATAAATAAATGAGTATGTATTGCCTTGAAATTTATTGACTAATTTTATATGTATCCTATAAAATGCTCCAGTATCTTTGAAAAGCATGCTCAGAGATTTAGTGCTCATTCAGAGTGCAATAGCGGCATGGCAGTCAGGAGGGTAATCAAGAACTTTCTAATTGGATCTGGATCATGTATCACAAGGGAAAGGTCATGCTGGTATTGTAAACATGGTCAAAAACACATGACTTGGAGTAATAGGCCATAGGCTTGAAGCTACAGTTGTTATTTCAAAAGGTCATGCTGTCAAAATGACTTTGAAATATTTGTGTTTATTACCCATAAATTTGTATTGTTCTCAACTTTGGTCAGGCAAGCTTCTTACTGCTGTGGATAGCAGTTAGTTCAGAGATATATACACAGTCAAAATGTCACATAAGTAACTGAGATTTCAGATTCAGATGGATCATCTATATTAATATCTCCTCATTTAAGCTTGAGGAAAATTTGTAGAAGACTGGGTGAAACAAATGTAAGAGGTAATTAATGAGAAGGAGAACTGTAAACTACTTACTTCTGGTCATGACATAGCTACTGCAGACATAAATATTGAGCAAGTATCAATAAGAGAGAACTGATACTATAGAAAATTATGGTCAAGAGAATTCCTTTTTTTTTCTTTTTTTCTTTTTTTTACAGGATAAGTGTTTAACAAGTTAAGCTAAGGGGCACTTGAGTACACATTTCTTAAAGCAGCAGTGCTTATTTATCAAGATGAACTCTTGCCTCATCCAGCAAACTTGACATACTCAAATGAATTGAAATCATACAAAGTGTGTTGTCAGACCATAATGATATAAAAATGGATATTTTTCATACAGGTATAAGAAAATGAACTTTTTGGCATTAAAACATCGTGCCTCTTAAAGGAGACCACAGATTAGAAACTAGCTTTACTGGCTAGGTTAGGTGATAGGGAGCATCAGTCTACATACATGTCCTCCTGTCCCTAGGGTCAGGATTTCTTTCCTGCAGCTCAGGATTGGGTCATGGCACAGCTAGACACCCTAGCCCCTTCTTACCTGTTGAATCCCCAGATGCAGATGTGCGACATCTAAGTCAAACTGGAACAAGTTGCCCACAAAGGGCAGGCGCCAGGGCCCTGGAGGGTAGTTCTTGGGGCGTCGACTTTTGAGATAGTCAGCCAGGATCAGGAAGGTGACAGAAGCCAGCAGCAGAGTCATGGGATGAAGCACTGCCCAGATGTTGGCCATGAGGGAGACAATGGTGGTAAGCATGGCAAGGGTCTGAGTTGGGGCCTGTCCCCTGGGTCACAGCCTGGTGCTGAAAGTACTGACAGTCTGTCTGCTAATTTCCACCCTGTTCCTTGCACTCCAGTCCTCTCTGTGTCCTAACAGAGCCCTTGTCCTTTGTTTTGTTCAGACCAGTCCTACTGGTCCCTCCCCATCTCTCTGCCCTGCCTCTCCCCAGCTCCTCAGCTCTGCATAACACTGGAGATGTTCACAGAGCCTCCTGTTCCTCCACACTCTTACCCAATCTCCTCCAGTCTCCACCTTCCTAAACCCTTCCCCAGTGTGCTCTGCTCTGCCCTTTCCCCCAAGTCATGCCCACCTGCAGGCACTGTGTTTTCTACTCCCTGTTTCCAGGCAACATGTTCTCAGAATTTAGAAGAAATGTGGTTTTAAAAAGCTGGCTAAATGTTTGGGCCCCTAGTTGTGCAGCCACAGATTTCCATGTCGTTGTGGGTAGCCTGTGCTGCCACCTGGGCCATGTTAATGTACGTAGCCCATTGCCACTGAAGTGCATGCAGATGTCTATAGCTTGTGATCCTGCAGAAGACCCGGTTGATGTCCCTAGTGTGTGTTTTCATTGAAGGCCATATGAATGTCCCTCATCTGTGCTGCTGCCTGAAGCCACGTTGATGTCCTTGGGATGGGCTGCCCCCAGGGACTGTATTAGTACCAGTGGCCATGTTGCCCCAGAGGCCATGCTGATGCCCATGGCCTATGCTGCTACCAAGGGCTATGATGGTGTTTATGGCCTGTGCTGCAGCAGAAGGCTGTGTTGGACCAAACTGCTACTATAGACTTTGCTGAGGTCCCTGACATATGCTGATACTGCAGGCCATGTGGATATCTGTGGTCTGTGCTATTATCAGACACCATGTGGATATTCATGATCTGTGCTCCTGCTGACTGTAAAGTGCAAGGAATCCCCTTTGGCAGTGGTATCAATGACTGATGAGGGCAGACTCACATTTGAGAGAGACATAGAAGACTTCTGTGACAACGCCTACCTTAACCTCCCTCCCCAAAGTATCAGCCTAGACTGGAAGCCATTGAAGAGAATTCTTAAAAATTGTGATAAGGATGCTGAAGTGTACCTCTCCAACATTGATGGCATCTCGAGAATGGGTGGGGTGTGGGTGAGGAAGGACTAACTTTTTTTAAGGGGCTGGCCCCTAGAGGTTTGAACATGCTTCAGTGACTATATGGGCATTACAGATGAGACTTGGTTTTTTTTTTGTTGTTGTTGTTCTTATTTGGGTTTTGAGGGTGTTAATATGATGAGAGGCAGAACTGGAAGGACTGAAAAGTGAGTGTGATTCAGAACATTACATGAACTTCTCAAATAATCAATAAAAGTATTAGGTTGAGGGATAAAAGGGGGACTGGCTAAGAGTGGTTAGTTTTTCAGAATTAGTTTCTCTGAAGCCTTTGTGTGTCTCTGGAAACTGAGATTTACAGCCCAGAGTGCTCCTGGTTTGGAAACAAGCTTTTCCTGGTGCTGGCAACCTTTCTGAGAATTAACACTACTATAGACAGCAATACCTTGCATTTCTGGGTTCTGAGCACATGCTTGAGGCCTCTGTCACTGAGCTCCCAAGCTCCCTCTTTTCTTCCTTCTGCCATTTCTATAAATTGTTTAAAGCATGTAAAATGTTTTTGCTTATTCTTTGAGAATTTGAAGCAATGTATTTTGCTCATATACTTTCCCCTGCCCCAACTCCACCCTGATCCTACTACCCACCTTCCTACCTACAAATCTTCATGTGCTTTCTCTCTTAAAAAAAAAAAAAAGGAAACAAAGAAAAAGAAATTTAAAGGAAAAGTGTGTGTGTGTGTGTGTGTGTGTGTGTGTGTGTGTGTGTGTGTGTATCATTCAGGTGGCCTTTGCGACCTGCCTCCCACTGTGCGGATTTCTCCTGCCTGTCCCCCTGCATCTGCCTCTCAGGCAGCTCCCCCACCCCACCCTGCTATGGGTTGTAGGCTTTCCCTAGGTCCATACCCTGGGATGCTGTCATGCCAGCTTAGTTGTCTCAACTTGTGCTTTTGCCCTCTCAGGCTTTTGCTGCTGCTGCCACCACTGCAAACCCATAGCCTGTGCTCAGCCAATGGCTGCATGTGAACAGGTACAGGTTCCCCCAGCCTGTCCTATGCAGCACAGTAGCAGCCTAAGTCACCATGATAGCCCAGTTGACTGGGTCCCCTGCTGCCCCCACCCTGCCAGGTGAGCACTGCTACTGCTACTCCCCCACACAGCTCAGCTGTTGCCATTGTCACTGCTGTGGACAGACTGAAAAGTCAGAAGATCTGGGGAGACACCTGGAAATTCTTAAGCAGGGAATCAGGTTTTATTTAAAAATCAATCTTTTTCATGGTAAGAGTGGGGAATATTATTACAATGCAGAGAGTTAGGGCTCTGTATAGTTCTACAATGGATGGCATGAAAATGGACAGAATAAATGAAGGGAAAACCAACTTAGCTGGAATTGACATAATGTTGGTTATTATTATTATTAGTTTGGCAATTCATACTTTATACTTAAAACAGTAGTTTGATAACTGTGACAAACATGAAAAATCAGACTGATAAGATAAAAGCCTTAGAAAGACCTATTAAGGAAACTAAAAAATATATTCATATACTGACAGAGGAATTTAGAGCAGAACCTACCACACCATTGTATGATGGAACTGAAGAGGGATGGCCAAGGTTATTAGAAACCAACCTCAGTTTATCCAATTACCATACACGAATGACCACCAGATGATAGGCACACACAAGGCTATGCAGAAGTTAACTAGAATACTGTAGAAATGTTAGATTTGAGGAGGTTCAAGCAAGCAGACATTTCATATGGTATGCATTCACCCCAAGTGAAGAAGATATTACATTCATGGTAACTCATATAGAATTATTCCCCAAGACTGGAAAGATTAAGCTATAGCAATACTGGAAGTTGGTCCTCAGTTACAAGGGAGAACATGGTGGAGAGGAAGCTAGGGGCCTAGAACAACAAAATAGGGCATAGGAATTGGTATTTCCTTAGGTCAGTTTCATGGTGAAGGCCAGGATGCTGATTTGCAAAGACAGTTTGCATTTGATGATCACATCTTGGCTCTATGTCATCTAGTAGCTTTGAATGTTTGGGACAAGTTTGAAGAATCAGGAAGGAGAACTGAGTCATTTAATAAAATTGTACAAAGCCCAAAAAAAACCTTCACTGATTTTTGGAAAGATTGACTTCAGTTGTAAATAGAATATCAGATCCAGAAGTTAGACAAATATTAATTAAATATAGGCTTCTGAAAATGTTAATTCAGTATGAAAAATGGTGATTAGGCCTTTGAAGGCAATATCAACACCCATAGATGAATAGATCCAAAATGCAGCTGATATTGCACCTCACACTTATGATGCTACTTGGATAGAAGTGATTTTTAAAAAAATCTTAAGAGGAAGTAAAATGTCAGATATTTTAATTGTGGGAAGCAAGGTCATCTAAAAAGGGATTGAAGGCAAGGTGTTCCTAGGAACAATGTTTTTTCTAGAGATAGTTCAAACCAAAGGCCCCAGTTTTCAAGGGTATGCAGAAGGTGTGACAAAGGCCAGCATTGAACTAATGAATGCAGATCAACAAGGGACAGGCAAGGTAACCTTTTTGCCATCATGAAATGTCTTGGGGGCTTCTCAGAGACCACAATATCAAATTTGGTTCAATCACTCCCTGTCAGGGAAACTCATCCACAGAGCAATTAAAAGACTTAATACCTGTTTTTAAAAACCATACTGCTCTGGATGACAGAAGAACTTCAGTAGATAAAGCAAAAATTTCAGGAGAGATCACAAAACTTTTTTTTGGCAAATTTTTATAAATGATCATAGAGCAAAGCTAAAAATATGAATAAATGGCATTGTAATTGAAGGTTTAGTTGACATAGGCTCCAAGGCAACAATAATTTCACCAAAATATTGGCATCCATATTGGCCTCTTCAGGAGGAAATATTTAATTTCTAGGGATTGGAACTTTATCTCACATAAAACAAAATACAAGGTTAGTTGAGTGTATAGGACCAGAAGGACAGATGGAAAAATTAAAGCCATATGTGGCTAGCATTGCAGTGAATTTATGGGGACATGATTTGTAATGGCAATAGAAAACACAGATTAACATTCCTTCAATCTCAGAAATAAATCATAAAACAAAGAATGCTTCTGAGAGAATATTAAACGGTATTATCAATAAGTCACTAAACATTCAGATTGTACATAAGCAAGGCACAAACTGCTGTTGATCTTTCAAAGATACCAACAGCCCAACCCTTAAAATGGTTAACTAACAAACCTGTATGTGTGTAACAATGGCCTTTGACATCATAAAATTTATAGGCCCTGGACCAGCTTGTAGAGAAGCAGCTAAATGATGAACATATTGAAGAATGGAGCAGTCCTTGGAATTCTCCGGTATTTGTCATTGAACATTAATTGAAAATGGAAAATGTTAACATATTTAAGGTAATTCAGCCAATGGGATTTTACAGCCTGTAATTCCCTTGCCTTCTTTATTACCTAAAGGATGGTCTATTATAACGATTGATTTAAAAGGCAGCTTTTTTACTATACCTTTACAAAAACAGGACAAAGAAAAATTTATCTTCACAGTGCCTTCTTATGACAATTCCAAGCCTGTTAAAAGGTATTAGTGGAAAGTTCATCCAAAATGAATGTTAATCAAGCCCCACCTTGTGTCAGTATTTTGTACAACAGCCATTTGCAATAATTCATAAACAGTTTCTTCAATCTATAATTTACCATTATATGAACGATATCTTTCTAGCAGATTCAGATGCATTATCTGCAGATATATTATCAAAAGTGTTTGATGAAGGAAAGAGAATTTTGCCTTGTTGGAGATTACAAATTGCTTCTGAAAAAATACAAAGAGAAGATTCCATTAATTACCTAGCTTATAATATAGATTTACAGAAAATTCAGCCACACAAAGTACAAATCAGGAGAGATCAATCATTAACTCTTAATGATTTTCAAAAATTGCTGGGAGCTATTAACTGGCTATGGCCCATTA